GTGTGTGTGTGTGTGTGTGTGTGTGTGTGTGTGTGTGTGTGTGTGTGTATGTGTGTGTGTTAAGGGGAGCTGTCCTACCAGTCACCCAGTTTGTACTGAATCACTTGTCAAATGTGGGGTTCTGACCAACAGCCTATCTGAATTGGGCTGCCCTTGGTTTTCTTAGTCTCAGCCACCTGCATCCTCAGCTCTGTTGGAGCCACTTCTTTTAGGGGGTATTGGGGTTTGCAATGCATGGGGGAGGGGAGAGTGACTCTCTTGGGACCCCCTGGAATCAAGGGGATGAGAAATGCATGGGATGCAGAGTGGAGTGGTGGTGATTAGGGGTTTGCAGTGGGGGAAGGGAGCCTGCAGTGGGGAATAGGGGCTGCAGTGTGCAGTGTCAGCATGCAGTAAATGAACCTGTGGGTTCAGCCTGGGCTCACGGTGGACATGCAACAGCTGCAGTATGGGGCAGGAAGCTGATCATGCAGGGTCAGGGCAGCATGCAGGAGGAGGTGCAGTGATGGTGGCTGTCTGCCAATCAATGCCACCTCCTCAGTGATCGGGTTTGGCTGATGGCGGGGGGCGCAGGGCAGGGCTGCGGTGTGCAGTGCTTAGGGTGCAGGCTGTACCATGTATGGAGATAGTCCCTTGGGATTGGGCTGCCCAAGGAGTTAGGCAGTACATAATCTCAGTACATAAGATACATTTATGAGATGAGGTGCATGTATCCTCTGCATCCATCAGCCAGAAACAGGAGGCAGTGGAGAGGTCTAGCAGCAATCTGGATTAGGTAGGGCAGGGTGATGGAGTCCAGAGCGAGAAGGTGAAAGTGCTATGGTTTTTGTCTCCCCCCCCCCTTTTTTTTTTTTTTTTTTTTTTTTTTTTTTTTTGTGGTATGCGGGCCTCTCACTGTTAATGGCCTCTCCCATCGTGGAGCACAGGCTCTGGATGCGCAGGCTCAGCGGCCATGGCTCACGGGCCCAGCCACTCCGTGGCATGTGGGATCTTCCCGGACCGGGGCACGAACCCGTGTCCCCTGCATCGGCAGGCAGACTCTCAACCACTGCGCCACCAGGGAAGCCCCCCACCACATCTTTTTGATGAAAGGCCCTAAAGTTATTGGATGAGGGAGACCTTTTGAAATCCTAGACCCAGAGCCATAGAAAATGAAGTGTCTCCTGATCCATCTTTTTTCCCCAGGGCCAGAGTGAGCACCTTGAACTCAAAGATGAAAGTTCACCATTCTTATCTTCTCCTTACCTCTCTCCCTTTCCTTGGCTCCAGATGTGGGCTGGTAGCAGACCTGGGCAAGGACAAAGTGAAGGGCATACTGCCTCCAAAGCAGGCATCTTGCCAGATGCCAGGATCCAGCCCAAGTCTGTGCTTATAGCCCCTGGCCCTGTGTTGCATCACTCCCCTTCCCACCGCACTCAGCCTGCCTACCCCCACTTCTTGAAGCTTATAGCTCGCCTCATGGTCATTTCATCCCCAACTCATGTTCCCTCCTTGCCATGAAACCTCTACCGGGATGCTCCTACCATCCCCGCTACCCCTGCTTCAGTGCTGAGTCCAAGGGGAGAACAGAATGGTGCGGCATGAGTGAGGACGGATAGAGACCCCGCAAGGGGATACATCTGACGGCCCCCTCCCTCTTAGATTTTGGTTGCCAAGGAGGCAGCAAGAACAGCCTGTTCTCTGGGCTCCCATTGGAACAGCTATGCCCAGGCCCCTCCCTCTCCTCCTTCCCTTTCCTTCTCTCCCTCCCAGACTGTTGCTAGGAAGCACCCCAAGATTTCTCAAGGGTCCCACCCCTAGAAACCAGGGGATCCAGATTGCTTTCTGAATAGCTTCCCCAAAAGCCTGGAAGCCAAGACCCCACACAGCATTCTCCACCCCTGCCAAGAAGCCCCAAACAGTTTGGGGGAACAGACAAGCCCTCTGCCAGCCTGTCCTGGAACTAGCTCAGTGGCCTGGGCCTCAGTAATTCCTCTCCCCATCTCATCTTGACCTCCTGGGCTCTGGGTGATGTCAGCAAGTGATGAGGTGTCCAGCAGACACCCCTTGATTCTGCAGACACAGCCCCACTTATTGGGGAGTTCTGGAAAGACTCCGGAAAGCAGAGGAAACTGAGGTATCACCAACTAAGAGAACTTAAAACCCAGGTATTTCTCCCTCTTACCAATTTTTTAATCAAGAAAAGATGGTGGAAATGGAGGAAAGAAAGGGGGGTCAGTTTATGGGAATTGGGGATTAAGTGGCTGGCAGAGATGAGAGACTGGGAAATTAGCAAACAATTGTCCTGCTAAGAGTAAAGTGGCCACTTAATGCCCCCCTATCGACCACATTTGTCCTATCACGTGCCCTGGTTACGGGTCACAAAAAAGAATCAGCAAAGGGACTCGGGCCTGGCTGAGCCTTGCTTTTGGTATCTGAGGATAGAAGTGGAAAAACAAGCTGACACCTTCTCCAGGTTGTCTTTCAGAGTTTCTCCTACTTTTATTCATTCATTTGACACTTCTTTTTGAACATTTAATACATGCCAGGTATTAGATCCCCTAAACTTGCCCAACTTCTGGTTTCTCTGCCCTGTGCATCCCCTTCGTCCTGCTTTGCCAGGAGGAGAGAGGAGGGGAGGGGTAGGGGGCAGTCTCCTTTACCTACCACACTGCAGCCCTCCGCCTTCAGTTAAAGGAGAGATGGGACAGGTTGATGTGGAGGCCAAGAGTACAGAGTGGCTCTCAGGGCCCGGAGGAAGGAGCAGCTGGCCTGTCCAGGATTCAGGATCACAGCACTCTTTTCTCCACACTGGAGGGTGTGGAGAGGGAAGGCATCCTTCAGGGTGTTAGGGAGGAAACAACTCCAAGGATTGGTTCAAATTCTGCCTTTCACTGTCCTGGCTGGTCTCATTCTGGACCTTTCCTGGGGGCAGTGGGAAGACAGAGATGGAACTGTGGGCATCCAGGAGCTGTCCCTGGAACTACCTTGTAGCCTTCTCCCCCATCTTCCTCTTCCCCAGATAGACAGAGAGCAGGGATTCTGAGGTGGGGACTGGTGGGGGGAGGGAACTGGTTTGGAGCCAGCTGTGTATGAGTGTGTGGGAACAACTCTCTTTCTTTCCCACCCACCTGCTGCCAATTAACTCCCCTTAGTGGGGGGACCCAGGCGAGCATCCAAAGGAAAATGTTCCAGTTAGAGGAGGGGAAACGAGTCAGTTACCCTATAGAGAGAAGGGAAGATGAAACCCTTTGTGCGTTGTATGCTTACCAAGTATTTCAGTGTTTCTGGGTCTAGACTTGCCACTTTTCCTTATACTTCTTTACAGCCTAGGTGGGGAATGTTTCCATGTCCTTGGTTACCAAAACCCCAATTCCTCACAGCCTCTTACCCCACCCCAAGTCCTCACTTTGACCTAGTTCCTTTTCTGCTGCTGCTCCAGTGTTGCCATGTCACTCTGCCTGGCTGGCTTCTATCTGCCCCTCTTCTTCCCCAGCCAGACCAGACAACAAGATGAAGAGCTTGGGGCTCAGGGCTAAGAGAGCAGAAGTGGGAGCCCAGTCTGTATCAGTGCTGAGGGAGAAGGAAAGGATAGCCAAGGAAAGTGGAATAAGTAAGAGGGATGTGTAAGAGGGGCTGTGTGTGGGGCGGGTTTCCTTCTACACACAAAGGGGATGTTGGCATCTCTTCTCTCATCCACAGGAGTATTATCGTGGAGTCCTGTCCTTGTGGAGGGCAAGCCAAGAGCTTGTGAGTCCTAGGAAGCTATTCTGGTCTGAAGGGAAGCAGTGGTGTACAGAAAGGCTGTCTGTGAGGGCTTCCCTGGTGGCGCAGTGGTTGAGAGTCCGCCTGCCGATGCAGGGAACACGGGTTCGTGCCCTGGTCCAGGAAGATCCCACATGCCGCGGAGCGGCTGGGCCCGTGAGCCATGGCCGCTAAGCCTGCGTGTTCGGAGCCTGTGCTCCGCAACGGGAGAGGCCACAACAGTGAGAGGCCCATGTACCGCAAAAAAAAAAAGAAAGGCTGTCTGTGAAATTGACAGACTAGAGAGTCAGGCCAAAGTAGAGAAATTGGAAATAGTCCTTGCCCAGAACTAAGGAAACCCTTTTAGGGAATTCCCTGGTGGTCCAGTGGTTAGGACTCCACGCTTTCACTGCCAAGGGCCCAGGTTCAATCCCTGGTTGGGGAACTAAGATCCCACAAGCCATGCGGCATGGCCAAAATAATAATAATAATAATAATAATAATAATAATAATAAGGGAGTTCTTTCACACCCTTAGGAGTCCAGTCCTTGGGGAAACCCTGCCAAGCCAAGAGAAAGGGCTGCTGGTGACAGGTGGGGGATAGGGAAGGCAGACTGTCTCACCACAGAAGCCACCTGCCTGCCACTGTAAAGTGGGGAGGAAGCACCCCCCTGGAGATCTGCCAGCTTCCTGACAGAAGGGGATGATTTTTTTTTTTTTTTTTTTCTTTTTGCGGTACGCGGACCTCTCACTGTTGTGGCCTCTCCCGTTGCGGAGCACAGGCTCCGGACACACGGGCCCAGCCGCTCCGTGGCATGTGGGATCCTTCCGGACCGGGGCACGAACCCGTGTCCCCTGCATCGGCAGGCGGACTCTCAACCACTGCACCACCAGGGAAGCCCAGAAGGGGATGATTTGAGTTCAGACTATCACTATCCTCAGGGCCCAAACGTTCTCCACTCCCATGTGGACTGGACCAAATACCTACTAAGTCAGGAGCAGTAACAAAGTTGACAGTTTTTCTCCAAGAGGGCAGTTTGGGCTCTGAGGGATGGGAAAGGAGCTGCAGGATCCAGGGACGGATCAAGGTGGGGAGCCCTAAGCTGCAGTAACAGCAAAGAGATGAGAGGAGGGAAGCAGGCAAAGGTAGAGTGAGGGGCCTGGGAGAAGAAGGGAAGCCAGATATGTGAGGGACTGCTGAGAAAAAGGGTCTGTGGCTGTCTCCAGTATGTTTGTGTGTGTGTGTGTGTGTGTGTGTGGCTGGGGGAGTTTGGAGGTTAACTGTGAGGAGTCTGGGTTCTCCCTCCTTCCTGCTTTGGATGCTTTGGCTACACATATTTGGCAGCTGTTTTGTATAAACATTATTTCCCCGTGGTGTCGCGTGGGCAGGCACTAAAAGGAGCAGAATGGAAGGGGTTGTGGGTGGGTTATGGGGATGGAGGAAGGCCATAGGCAGTCATGACCTTAGAGGGATGTGATCTGGCTCTCCTCCAGGTGCACTCTCCTCTTCAGAACAGGAGTTCTTGTCTCCCTGTTTAGACTATGCTCCAGATACCCAGGATCCTGTGATTCTCTGCCCTAAGGGCCTCATGTTTGCTTCCAGGGCCTTAGTGGACTGCTCTTCCAGAGTCATCCCTCTGAGAACTGATTTTGCCACTGAAAGTATGACCAAAGAATGGTTATTGGGAAATATGGATGGAGCTTAGACTCATGGATGGGGATATGAGGCTCCTCACAGTATGGGATGGGGGACTGAAAATAGGGGTAGCAGGACACTGGCTGGAGGCTTCCATGTTGTTCTGGTTGTAAATGTTAGTGATGACCTGTCCAAGGGACAGGACAGGGATGAGGCCTGTGTATAGGGAAGCTCAGATGAGGCCCAGATGTTGGAGTCAGAGGTGGGTAGCATTTGCTTTTGGCTTCTCACTGCGGGGAAGGGAGGAAGAAGGGCTAATACCCCAAACACTGGACAAAATTATCTACGATATGGTTCCATAGGATAAAGCGAGACATTATATTGGTTTTAATAAACATTTCTTTAAAGAATAGTTTTATATTTATAGGAAAAAATTTGAAGATAGTAGAGGGTCCTCATGTATCCCACACCCAAACCCCCGCCTTTAACCTCTTACATTAGTATGGTACATGTTACGATTAATGAACCAATATTGATACATTTTTATTAACGAAAGTCCATGCTTTATTCAGATTGCTTAGTTTTCACCTAATGTTCTTCTGTTTCAGGATCACATCCAGGATACCAAGTTACATTTAGTCATCGTGTCTCCTTAGGCCCTCTTGACTGTAACAGTTTCTCAAACTTTCCTTATTTTCTATATCCTAAACCTCAGTTTCCTCCTTACGTCTCCCTGTAGTCAAGCAGTATTCTGGGCCAAGAGATTCTGAGAGGACTTCCAGATTTGGGGGTGAAGGAGTGGGTGAGGTGTGTACAACTGACAGAGACTCAGCGTCACTTCTGGAATACAGGTGTGGAAATGAGAAGAACTCAGGTAGATCCAGGGGTCTAGGAGAACAAAAGGAGGCCAGGAAAGAGAAAACCTATTGCTGAACGTATACCACACCTTTGGTGTGCCTACTAACTACGGGTAATGGAAGGGTGTCGGAAAGTGATTTAAATGCTCGGTCGATAGTGACGTCACTGGACGATGCCTGATAGCGGGAGACCTTTCGAGAGCCTTTCTCCCTAAGCCCCCCGAGTCTTTGGGATGCCTCAGCTCCTAGCAGTCTTTTCCTAAAGAAGAGAAACAAGGTGAGCTGACCAGCTTCGTCTCTTGGGTTCCTCGCTTAGCGTCCTCGCTAGCGGAGTCCAAGGAACTACAACTCCCAGAAGGCATCGTGGAATGAGCGGTCTCTTGCTGCATTCCTACTGGTTCATGTTTGTTACTCCCAGCCAATAGAAAATTAGCTCTTTGATAAGTGCAAAAATGGCGGTACCTAGGATCTAGGACTGCTTTATCCGGTAGGCTTAAATTTGGGGAGGTGGTGGTTGAAAAGGAAAGAGGGAATTATAGTTTTAGGGTTGGGGAAGGTGGAGGGAATGGGGGGGGAAATCTGGATTTGGGGTGGTAATGGCTGAGGGACGCAGCCAGAGCTAAGGGCGTATTTAGGCAACCGGAACTGGCTTAACCCCTTGGTACCCATTTATTCTTCGTATTAAGCCCGTTTGACACCCTCTTCTTAGTGCTCCAGTTTAGAGAAGGTTGATTCAGGAGGGAAAAACCTGACAGGATCCCTACTTTTCCTTTTCCCCATTCTAGTCCTGACTCCCTTTAATCTTCCTGTATCTTCTCCATTCCATTTAACTCTGTGCTGCACCCCTCCCCCCCCGCCC